TAAGCCCAACCCTCCCCCTTAACGATTTCAAAGTTATCAAATATACAAAATTATGAATTGTGTCCCAAACCCCCGATTGGCTGTAAATGATAGAGATTATATGAGGACGAAAGTCAAACGCAATTTGTAATGAAATGAATTAATGCGTCCAGCCTTTGAGCAATTTTAGTGAGAGATTTGCAGATAGCAATTCGTCCTCTTAGACTCATAGGAGGGTATGTGACAGCAAAGGGGTGTTTGAAATACCTAAAATCCAAAACTATCACAGGTATTCATGAATTGGATTTGAATTTAGTTATAAATACTCCCGATAAACTAGGAAAAATTATTTGTTAAGAGCTAAGGGAATCTTGTACAGGGCGTTCAGTAAGTAAAGCTAATTTTGCTCTCAAACTTTTATTTCTTGTCTATCATCGTTCAAATTTTCAATGGGGAAGCATCAGACACTTTTCTAACTATCCTGAAAAAATGATTAAGATATAATGAATAACAGCAAAATGGTGGTTGTCATAGTAACGCGAATACGGGTTCTGCGGAGCAATTTTATAAGTTCACAGCATAGTAGATTTTGTTAACGTTAGTTTCTGTCCTGTCTATATTTTAACCATAGTTCTGTGGCTACTCCACATTTCTACTTTCAAGTTAGCGTTCTATTTCATGTTCAAAGTAGTTCCCCTTAGCTTTCACCACACACAGCTGATGTCGTTCTATCCACTTCTAATATATCCTGTGGAAGCCATCTGGAAAGTTCTTTGTCAGCGAACGTTGAACGGCTTTACTTACTGAACGCCCTGTATATTTCAGGACTCTCAACTCCTACATATTCCATCAAGATAATGCGCCATCGCATAGGTCGCAAATGGTGCAGGATACTATCCAGAAAACGCTGGAGATGGAGGTTCAAGGCCAGTCAGCGTATTCTCCTGACAAGGCACCGTGCGATTTTGGGGTATTTTCATGTTTGAAAAAATGATCTGCGTGGTAAGATCCACACAAATATCCATGAGCTTCAGAATGCCGTTCAACGTTCGCTGACAAAGAACTTTCCTGATGGCTTCCACAGGATATATCAGAAGTGGATAGAATGACATCAGCTGTGTGTGAAAGCTAAGGGGAACTACTTTGAGCATGAAATAGAATGCTAACTTGAAAGTAGAAATGTGGAGTAGCCACAGAAATATGGTTGAAATATAGACAGGACAGAAACTAACGTTAACAAAATCTACTATGCTGTGAACTTATAAAATTGCTCCGCAGAACCCGTATTCGCGTTACTATGACAACCACCATTTTGCTGTTATTCATTATATCTTGATCACTTTTTCAGGATAGTTAGAAAAGTGTCTGATGCTTCTCCACTGAAAATTTGAACGATGATAGACAAGAAATAAAAGTTTGAGAGCAAAATTAGCTTTACTTACTGAACGCCCTGTACATTGAAATATATATGCTCTAAACGAATTGATTTGTCGTACTTAACAGACAGTTTTTAAGCTTACGTGAAAGTCATTCTCCGAACGCAGTACTCCATTATTATATGCTATGGAGTCATATGCACAACCGAGACACATAGATTACTTTACATTATATTAAAATTATGTGTTGCAAAATAGTGCAGAGTGGGTGAAGTGTAGTTTTGCAATGCATATACTTTTAGAGTGAATAAAGCAAGGAGTCATCACAAGAAACTTCACAAAGTAAAGAATTCCCCACTTGCACATTTTTTCTTACAATGGTGCAATTTTAAAGATGCTTTAGATATACACTGCGGGGTTCTTGACTTGCATGGTGAAGTTTCTGTTAGCCTAGATGGGCTCAGGTTTAATGTAAATACATGAAATAATGTCACTACAATCAAACTGAACAAGAAGATGAGTCGGGAGATGAAGTTAGGCAATGGGTTGCTACATGTATAGGATATGATAGGATAAGGACGACATTTAGACTTACCACCCGCCTTATAGCTGGCAATTTAAGCTTCTGAGACTGAAATAATAATTATAAGCTGAGACAATGCTCCTTTTTCTTGACTTAGTACTAAACATAGCCTGTACAGGGTGGGCCAAAAAACAATACACAAGTTTAAAGATGAATATCACATGATATATTTAAGACCATGTCAAGTATAAGATATCATATCAAGATAAATCATATCCTAGCAACATGGCACTATCCGATTTAAACACTTTCCAGGGGTGTCATGAATAACCAAAAATGTATTCACTGTGGATTTCCAAATTGCTGAAAATCAAGGGAAATTTGTATTTTAGCACCCTCAAAAGATACATTCATACAAGTTTTGTCCAAAATTCACCAATAAAACATATCTTTAATTCACTGATCAATTCTGTATTACTCCGTAATAAATTTATTGAATGCTGCTGATTATGATTTTTTGGCCGCTTGTGGAACCCCTGGTGTCAATTTTAGCCTGTAAGGCCACAAGAAAAGAAAGGTTTTTCAATCGGATGGTGTCATATTGTAAGAAGATGATTTATATTTAAAATGTTATATAATACGTGGCATATGGGTTAACACATATCATATAATATTCATCTTTAAACGTGTGTATTGTTTTATTTTGCCCCATCCTTTAGATGGCAGTGGTTGTTACGCGGTATATGGCATACATTCATGGTTGCGCGGTATTTGTGATACGGGTGAATATGCCATACTCACCTGCGGTATATGGCATATTCCGCAGGTAAGTATGCGATATTCCGCAGTGAATATGCGATACATTGATTTCAGTGAATACCCGATACTCACCTGCGGAATATGTCATACTCACTTGCGGAATATGCCATATACCGCAGGTGAATATGACATATACCGCAGGTGAAAACGTGATACAGAAAGCCTTGATTTGATTGGTTGCGAGAATCGACTCTAAATATAAAACTACGCTGTATTACCATTATAGTTAGTGCGTCGAGTACTAATATATGAATCCTGGATTGATTGAGTAAGTTTATTACCCGAGATTGGTGACTGATACTTCTGCTAAGTTAATATATTCGATACACAGTACTGTTGATTCAGTAATCATTACAATAATTAATAACGTTTTACTATTTCGTTAAACAGTGGTGATGGAATCTATAAAAAGTCAATTTCCAGTTCCAGCATTTTGTTTTACACATACAGTTGAGATTAATAAGCATTGGCTATTATCAAACGGAAAACTGAACCGTAGTCATAAAAGGCGTCAAGCAAAAATCTTCCCTGGCATAGATAAAACTTAAAAAGCCAAAAAGAACACACAGAGTGACCATAAAATGCAGCTCTTTAATTTTGGAATGGATTTCTTAATTTTGGTGATATCTTGATTTTACTTGGAAGTAAAAATATTTGACAGATCAAGCAGTGGTGTCCTTATCATTTATGAAATATTTAGTCGAGATTGAGACAAATTATGTTTCTTTCTTCAACAAGCGAATTGTCTACTCTGTTATTAAATATACGAAAATAAAAGATCAAGTCGATTTAACCTAAGTTGATAGCCATTCCATAATATAAGGGTTGCATGTATTGGGTTCACTCTGTACATTTATAGGTATCTAACATACAATGCAATACTTTGGTGTTCCACTTACAAAGACACGTGCCTCAAAAAAAGATCAAGCACACACCGGAATAGCCTGACTACGGTAAAGTCAGATACCGTTGTCACAAATGGCGGACATAACCGTCGCTTCAACAGTTTAATCACTTCGTTCTCATTTCATGGGATTTTATCGTCGCTAATTCCGTGCATGCATTAAGCTCTTGTGATAATGTATCATATGAAATCCCAATTTCGATCACATTGGGTCGTGAATCGCCACAATATAGCGTCTTCGATATCATCAATGACAACGGAATCTGAATTTGAGTAATTTAGAAAGACAACGGCATATGGTAATTACAGTTTGATCATTTTGATCGGCTAGATTAAAGACTTTATTTCGATGGTAGAACACTATTAACTGACAGTGTACAATGGGTATTAAGACACTTTGATTGATTGTTGTTCCAAAGGAATTAAGTCTAGGTGCTCTATTAAACAAACAGATTTTGAAAATCTATTTGAAGCGACGGTTATGTCCGCCATTTGTGACAACGGTATCTGACTTTACCGTTGTCAGGCTATTCCGGGGTGATGCAATGGTATGTTAATTTTAACACAATATACCATATGCAAACATAAAATGTTAATATGTAGTAGGCCTATATATGACTAAAAATATAAAACACGTAAATTCAACCCCTGCAACCCCGTAACATATACACTATCTTACAAACCCCAAAAGTAAAAATAAAAATATATCGTAAATGTGTTGTGTCACTCTGAGACAATGTGCTCTGACATTGTATATTTGTGAACTTTTCTACAAAGTTTCTAGAACACAAATGCTTTTCCCAATTTGCAGATTTGCACACTGTGGACGTTTTAATACTTTTGCGTACAGTATAAGATTCTCTTCTTAAAATCATATTATAATAACTTCCATTTATATCACTTCTGGTGATGGTATAAAAATGTTCTGAAGCTCTTGGCAAAACATTCGATATTTTAATGTTGATATATAATCCATTTTCAATAATGTTAATATGAATCTCTTTTGACATTTTACAATCACACATGGTCAAAGCACCTATCGATCCTTATAAATGTGACCCTGTCAGGTTTAAACGACTTTGTTTATGTTGTAGAAGATGGAACATAAATTAACATAAGATATATCAAATATCAAAAGGTATTTTGCTGCTAAATCATATTATCAGTATCCTACATTTAAACCAGATTAATAGTATATGTATGCTAATGGCGTATCATAAAGCTATATATTTTGATATAAAATTATGTTATCGTGGACATCTGTAATTCAAAAAACATTCAACTAACTCCTTTAACCGAAAGGTAAACATTTCTTAAATACCTACTTACAAATAGGACAGATTGAGGCATATCTTAAGCAATCAAATTCACTATTATCAATAAAAGAAATTGGTCTTACCTTTATAATGTCTAGCTTCTTTTGGAGCCTGTCTCTTCCAATGGTATTCATAGCGAGTCTGTCCGGGGTCGTGTTCAACCAGCCCTTCTACATTATACCTAGTTTCTTCACGTTCTTCTATTTCTTCCGTGTCTTCGTACCGGTCGCCCCCACCCCTCTGCCAGGCTTCTTCTTCTATCCTCATCGTCTGTTTCTTTTGTGGGTAGTCAGACTCATCGTAATAAAGCACCTCTTCCCGCTTCCTTGTGTCTGTATGTGGGAGTTGGACGTTAATATTTGTCACCTTCTCAATCGTCTTTTTTGAGGTTCTCTTACGTTTTGTTTCATTGAGGGTTTCATCGTCGCTATAGTAAACAGGATTTTCTCTAGTGACCTTGAACTCATCGTTAAACATGTTAACGTTCTCCTCAATGTATTCATGAAGTGATTCATTGTCAGATACAATATCTACAGTTTTTGCTGGCCCAGTTGTGTCCAGGTGATTTGTGATTAGAATTCTACCCCTGTTCACATTGAAGTTGTCATTTGGAGGTATTACAACCTCAGTTTCTTCGTAGAACTCCTCGTCTTCCTCATTTGCAAAGAACATTGGATCCCTGCTGATGACTTCTCCTTGTGCTTCCATTTTGGAGTTCCCAGCCACTTTTATTGTTGCTTGGTGCTCTTCAACACGTGGCTTCTTTATAGTGCTAACTACCTCTTGACGGTGAACCTCCTCATTGACCTTCGCAGGTTTATGAATATGGACAACCTTTTCAACTATTTTTTCTCTTTTTTCAGTCCGTTTTTGTGGAGTGGGAGGTCGTTTTTCAACAATTTGTGTTACCTTCTTGACCGTCTTGTTTCGTGCCTTAGGGACCTGTTCTTTGATTTCCCTTACCTCGATATATTCTTTCTTTTCTTCTTTGCGGGGTTGCTCAATTATTATGTGGTGGTGTGGGTCGTGCTTTTCTTGTTCTATTCTCAGTCGATGTATCGTTTCTTTCTCTTCAATATCCTTCGGGATCTCTACCTCAATGCGATGTATTTCCTTAGGTGCCGGGCTGTTGATCTGTAACCGATGTATTTTATTGCTGGCCTCGACAGGGGTCGATATATTCACAATGCTTTTATTTTCTCGTCGTTGATTGAATTTGTTCACGTTTACATCAATCCTAGAAGGTGTAATAGGACTTTCGGTGGTGTCTGGTGGAATAAACACCTTCGAGATGTAGCTCTGGTCATCCCCATCCACTTTATTCTTATGTATTCCACTCACATTGATTGTGGGACTTGAGTTGCCTTGAACATCAACGAAAAGTGTTTTATGGACCTCATTGCTGTTTATATCTCGAGTGTTTGGGGTCAACACGACACTACTACTCACTTGATTTGTTAGCTCAGGTCCGACATTGACGGGAATATGCACCGTTTTTCTCTCAGTTGTTTTAATCAGAGGAGTCGGACTTCTTTCGATGACGTTTCTGTTCGTCTCTGTAAACAATGACGTCACGTGTTGTGGCGTAGACGTCGGCGTCTTCTGCGTGTGTGTTATTTGTGCTATGTTATTAGACGCAATCGGACTTCCAACTAATGTTCTTTTCTCAGTGACATCTATATAATTACCGTACTCATCGTATTCGTATTGGGAACCTATTGGTTGTTTTATTGAGATTGGACCTCCGGCAGAATGGATCACCTCAGAAACATTACTGGATGCAACGGGGGTCCCTGACCTATATCTCTTTTCAGTTACATCCAGAATTGTATCGGCACTTCGACTACGAGGCCTGGTCGACGTTCCAACTCTAAGTGTAGGCGTGTTTTGTGGCAAGGGTGTTATACCAAAGCTCTGTTGATTCACCTGCTGTGGACCGACATCTACAGGTATATTGATTGTTCTTTTTTCACTAGTTGTGAATCCACCTGGATTCGGCACAGTGAGATTCTGTGTGTTTCTTATAGGTGTACTCGCGCGAATACCTGGGGTCCCCATACTTTGCCTGAAGGTTTGATCGGGAGCTACATCTACTGGAATGCGGATGACATTTTGCTGTTCTCTTGCCATTGAGCTTGGATTTTGAGCCATGTTGCTGTGTATATTAAAGGTTGGAGCACTCGTGACATCTTTACGATAGACTGTGTAATTCTCTGTCATACTTGCAGGTGTCGACCTCAAATCTATAATGGGATTATGATGATGGCTTTGGCTAGAGCTCACACGGTACTCATTTGGCTGGGGTGACTGAGGGACTGGTGTGTGAAGTAGGATCCTCTTTGGAGACTGTTCATACGTCGATGGTCCTGTATTTATTCGGACCTCTCCTGGCCGAGAAGGGCTGTTTGTAGAGAGAGTTAAATCCTTTGTGAATTGAACAGGAGATGTGACGCTGCTAATGTTGATGCTTGGTACAGAATGGGTCACGTTATTTTGTTTGTTGATCATTGGTTGTTGAGGTAGAATCTGAATACTTTGAGGAGCACCTTTATTTTGAAGAGGTCGTGCATAGGCAGAAGCGCTGTCTAAAGAATCCATGCTATAGTTCAAAGTGTCACTATCGCGAGAATTGATACTATCACGTGAATCATATGATGTCAGGCGTCTAACTTCTACCGACGTTGGCGAAAGGGAATTATATCTTAAATCATCACTGCTGCCTAGTACTCGCTTACTATCAGGAGATCTCAAACTCCCAGCGTCGACCTCGTAAAGTTGCCTTTTTACCCTATTGTTCCCTTTATAATCCCCTGATTTGATAGTGTACACGCCATGTGAATTAACTTGTGTTTTGCTCTCCTCTCCCAAAGGCTGACTACGGTTACGTTCAACCTCAAGTACAGCAGTGCCATCTGGTGAACTCCTTGATACATGTTGCTGGGATATTCGGGAATTCTTTATCTGCTGTAGCTTCCTACTGGCCGGACCCTGCTGCTTGACGACGCTAATAGGCATGGCTACCTCAGCCTGACCACGCAGTTCCTCTTCTTGACCCCTGCCGTAAACCATCGTCTCAACGTGAATCTCGCCAACTGATACAATTGAAATATCGCTAAACGTTGTGCTCGGAGCTCTGATTCGACGCTCTTGGTTTGAATAAGCGATATATGGTACTGCTGAATAGACCGTTGTGTTATTTTCCTGTCTAGGGTAATATATCGTGAATGCACTATGCGGGCTTGTATTCGAGTGACTGATTTTAAATATATCAGTGTCGTCACCTATAGAACTACTGTCCTTGATTTTACTTATTCTCGTATCACCTTTCACGTTTATATCGCCATTTAATTGGGTGACATCAATGCCAACATTTTGACTTGAATCTTTTGGTTTAATTGACTTTTCTAATGCAGTCACTTCACCCAATTTACAAGGTGTATCACTTTCCCCAATGTTATCTGATACACTGTTCGAACGTGATGTTTTTGCAGTTAGAACTTGTTCAATAGTACTACAATCTTCTGTTCTTATCAAATCAGTTTTCACAGGTGAAATTGAAAATTCTATCTGTTTTCCGATAGTCTCGTTTGATGTTGCGCTTTTCGTTGTAACAACGTCCTTTATGACCTTTCTTTTGACAGGGGGTGTGATATGAAGCTCTTCGTATTCTTGGTTTTCGTCTAACGTACCGTTTAGGTATTCCAAGCTATATGGACCAATCTTCTGTGGCTCCTCTGAAAATGTACGCTCCTCTGTGACTACTTCACGTACGTCTTCGATTAGCTCAAGGTAGTCAGCCTCACTGTCTGTGTCAATAAACTCATCAGCGCTAACAACGACTACTTCATTTGTGGCCTTACGTATTATATCATTGGTCGGTTTGTTATCAATTGCATGCTTGTCACCATAGTTAAGTAACTCATTGTCAGAAGTTGGGATTTCCTTGTCAAGTGAGTTCTCTGCCTGAATGTCAACAGGCTTTTCCGAATCTTCACTTTCAAATCCAAAACTGTTTATTTCATTGACTGAAGGCTGGTAGCCCGTTACTCCAACTGGTGGTGTTTCTTTCTCGTCGTCGTTAAGAGGTTCTCTGTCGTCGTCCTTTATAATTGGATCTACAGCTACGTTGATGCCTTTTGTACTGGCACTGCTTGTTTCAACTAGCTCGTTGTTACCAGTTGTAGAAATAGTAGGTTCGTTTAATTTTCCCGCGTCAATTAATTTATTGTCTGTGTGTTGTATAATTCTATGATCTACCACTATTTCATCAGTGATACAGCATGGTTCCACTTTATTTATATATGCTATTTGATCGTCTTCTGGGCTGTTATTGCCACAATATTGATTTGTGTCTGTCTTGCTCACCTTTTCTCCACTTATCTCAACTTCTTCTACTATTTCAGAGTCAGGTAAGATTTCAATATATTCTTCAACTTCGGGTTCTATGTTACTGGCAATATCTTGACTTGTGTCTGTTTTAATCACCTGCTCATCACTTATTTCAATTTCCTCGACTATTTTAGAGTCAGGCAAAATTTCAATATATTCTTCCGATTCAGGGTCTGAGTTAATGACAAGATCTTGGCATTTGTCTGTCTTAATCACATCCTTATCACTTACTGTTACTGTTTCTACTGTTTCAGCGTCGGGTATGATCTGAATATATTCGTTAGTTTCAAGATCCTTGTCATCGGCAACGATTGTTATATCAGCAGAAGTATTATGATCATCTTCTATATCTGACCCATCTACACATTCTTCCTCCAGTGATTCAACGTCATTAATGTCTAGTGCAGCATAGGTGTTTTCATAAGTCTCATTCAAATCAGACGGGGATTGTATATTAGTAGGTTTTATCTCGTTTTGTTCTGTATTCTCGGTGAAACTTTCCTCAGAGAAGTCAGGATATGGTGTCTCTGGGATGGGAGGGGGAGCAGTTTCCCCAGGGGTATTTTCAAGATTCTCGTCAGTACTAGTATATGTTGATATTATTTCTTTTGCATTTGGAGCTAGTGAATCTGGATGAGATGTTGCTGATACAGAGGGTGGAGTTACTTTTGAATGCACTGGTTCTTCTGTGTTACTTGGATCAAATAATGCTAATACAACAGTTGCTGGTTTTTCTAAATTATCAGTCTTAGATGTTTCATGTGTATCAGTATCTGGATAAGGCGTTTTTGGAATGGGTGGAGGACTAGGCTCCCTATGTTGCGTAACTGGTATAGAATGATTTTCAATATCCAGGGGAGTATTCACTCGTTGTTTTGATATGATCTCCTCAGTTATTTGAACTTCCGGTTCATATGTTGTATATTCATAAACACTTGTTATGTTACTCTCAAGTAATTCGTGTTCTTTCAATGAGTTAATAGCTTCCGGATATGGTGACTCTTCATTTATGTTAGTCTCAATACTACAACTAGGGTCAATATCGACTGGAATTGGAGGCGGGGGATATGATGGAGGTTCATCATTTGGATCATCAAGCGGTTCAATCTTTGTGTCAACAGTTTCCTTCACTGCAATGCCTGTATCCACACTATTTTGATTATCGTGTTCCTCGGATACAAATAGTGTTCTTGACTTCTTGCTTGTAAAGTAATTTCCAAATATTCCGCTTTTTGGTGAAGTTGGTGTCAAGTGTGTGTTCTCTGCATACTTATCCGGTAATGTCAAAACTTCAGGATTATCGAGGTTTGATTTCAGTAATGTATAATCCTCTTGATATGCCTCAGATATTCCTGTATTTACTGACTTCCCGTCGTGTTGTTTTTCGCTATTATCTACATTAAAACCACCATGCTGGTAGCTAAGTAATGTAGTAATATCTGTTGCATCAAACTGCTGTCCATTTAATAAATGATCGTGTATACTGGTATTGCGTGATAGCTCGGGGCTTTTGCGAGTTTTATCATTAGCTAAGTAACCAGTGTATAAGTCGTTATTTCCCAAGGCAAGATTGTCGTCGGAATAATCCTTACTGTCATTAATATTCAGCTCAGCTTCAATCCGATCTAATCCTTTCTGCCTTGAAGATATTTCAGATTCAGTTTCAAGTGTATTTGAGCGAGGAGACTTGTATTGATCAAAATAGCGATCGACGATGTCAAAGTCTAAGCTTACTGGATCGAAATCATTTTGAGTGTCTCCATCCAATTGATTGTCATCGTTTACATCACTTGTTTTACTAGTTGTTTCTGTGGTAGATACCTCTGTTACTGAAGTTATTGATTCTGAAAGTTGTTCACACGACGTGGGAACATTTGTTGCGTTCTCACTTGATAGTTCTTCTGCAGAATGATGCGATCCAGTGTTCACGTTATCATGAATCGATTTGGAAATTTTGGAAGCTCTATCTGGTTTTCGCGACAGATTGTCTCTACGAGGAAGATGTGGACTTTCTTGGCTCTTGAGATTAGTCCAATGACCAACTGCTTCTGATAGAAGACGCCCCTTATCGTACGATTTATCAGAATTAGTTTCTTTAGTTTTGGATTCTTTGTATTCAGGTTTTAGTATATCCCTCTGACTAGTCTGGTCTTTCAGAAATTCTATGAATAAAGTATCTCCAGTACTATCACGTTCAGTTCGTTTGGAATTTTCGGATTGCACTACTGACTGGTCATCGTCTGGTTCTATGGTTGAGGTCTCGGATTCAGAATTATCCCTGTGTTCTAAGTAAGGACAATCTCTAAAAGTGTTGGATATGCCAACACCGTCCTCCTCATGGAACGATGTATCTTCTTCGATATTTGGTTCATCAAAATGAAAATTGCTATCAGTACTTTTGGCAGTAACAAAGCTGTCAACAGATCCAGGGGATGATGAAAGATAAGCTGCGTAGTTTGTATCTTGGTTACTTTTTACGCGAGGTATATCAATTCCATTATCACTTACTGGCTCGTCAAGTGGTGGTTCGTCAGACTGAGAAGGTTGATGAAAGTAATTAGAAATAGATGAAATGATACGAGTGCTCTCTTTACCAAGTGATTTCAGCTGATCGGAAAACTCCTCCACTGGGTCTACGAAATCAGGATTTACGAAGTTTGGCGTATAATCAGCTACATCTTCAGTATTATCATATGTTATTCGCTCACATACACAGAGTTCATCGTCATCATGATATTTGTGGTACTTCTCTGCAAGGTTGTTTGGTTCAGATACTATTCGTTGCTGAACTGGCTTTGTTTCAGTATCACTGGAATAGATAATCAATTCTGTGGCAGTCTCAGAATTGGATTCGATTGTTTCAGAATTGTTTATCTCATCATCAGGTGTTTGTGTTCTTATGGTGTCGCTGTCCTCAGTAAAGTTAATTAGTTTGTGACTTGTAAGTTTGGTGTCACTTTCCTTTGCAGCAACATTTGTATTCAAGTCATCTCTGAAAAATAAACGTTCAAAACATATCCATAATTTATGCAATAAGATATTAGCATTTACATGAAATAAGAGTTATAATGTTTGTAAGACTATCAACATTGCATACAAATGTAGACAAGATTTACCCTATAAATCCCCGAGGCTTTGGTATGAATTTGAAAGAAGTAAACACATGGGTAAAATATTTTGATCACCGTAGGTTATAAACACCTCAGAATTGAATGTGTAGGAGTGAATGTATCGAAGAAAACATTTCATTTTTTGTTTAACATACATTTAAAGTAAAACGTATTGGAAGCATTTATCAAATTAATAATAATACAGTAACCCTTGAAAGGTATGTCAAGTTTGACGGTCGTTCCCCTAGGTAAAGTAATTACATACGTTTATGTTAATGATATTAAGATTTTACATATTAGATTATGATTAATTATAGCAAATTATGACGCTGCTTCATTTCAGGAGTACAATAAAATGAAAAAACGCGTATACATATTCGGGTGTGTATATGGACCTGAGACAACCACCCTCTCATCATTTGACATTGTCTCGATTTGAATAACTTTAGATATTGTAGACAACAATATCAACCTGTCTGTGAATCTCGTTGGCAAACATGAATCGAAGCCATGATCACCCTTGGTTGGTAATATTGACCATAGCGTATTGTACAAACTGTATAGTGATCCCGATTAAAACGACATACTGCTCAAAGCATCTTCAGTTTTATTCGATATTAAACAGGTTAACCGATTACAATATCAATATTTCACCTTAGCAGTCAGCATATCAATGTAATTTTAGCATTGCACGAACATGAAACATAGCTTCATATTAATCTTAGGTATTCATCCTTACCTGCATCGCTTCTATATTCATCAGTCTATTAAACATCTGCCAAAACCTGACGTAATTGCCTTTTTGATGTCCTGTTTTTATTGATATATGTTCAAATATAGTGCTTTAATTAGTTAATTGATATGATTTCACTACTAAATGGCTCATAGTAGACGCGACTGCCAACCCAGATATCGAGTGCGAATGAATACACTCTTTGAATATATTCATTCATCGCTATTCATTCAGTGTTCATGATGCATTTTTTCAACCTCAATACTTCTCTTTCATATAGTAATATTTTTAAGGGCGGCCATAATAACAATTTAGTAAGATGTGTATTAACCACACAGGAGGAACACTGTGACATTTTTAAGTGAAAGCACAGTATGATACTTGGCTTACTTGTGAACAAAGAGTCTATGATATTGAAATTGAAAAGAAAAATTATTTCATTGAAATCGTAATTTATATACAATACGGCTGTTTTTCTACGTTGAAGTTCGTGAAACTATTTCAAAAACAACCGGTTTGAGGGCAATATAGTGAGCGTTTACATGTTTTGGCTTACGCGTCTGAGATCAAAAACAAACAGACCCAAATATCCCATGAGATCCCACGCTATATATTCCACAAAGGTTACATTGTACCCCTTGGCTTTTAAGGCAGTTCCACATGATGAACATTTTCATGATAACATTAACCAATAATTAATGATATGAGTGGTATTTTTCCAAAATGTTATGCGGATATTTACGTGTTATGGGAAAATATACCCTTTGCATTCGTTTGACTTCACTTCTTAAAAGAGAGCTTCGTCTGTAGTTTAACTAGACTCTGCACGCAGGGTAGGGAAAATATAGTTCAATATCAATATGTTTTCTTAAAATTATATTGGAATGAAATTTTCCCAAATAATTTTTCAGAAAGTGTACAACTACCTTAAGAGGACGTCTCACTGGATAACATTAGACAATTTAAAAATGTTAGTCTATAAAGGTCTCATTGTGCCTGACTTACGATAAGCAGATTGGGATGACATTGACATATGATTGACATAGCTTTAGTATGGAAGACAGCATGTTTAATTACCAAGTAAATAAGCCATTATCTGTTTATACTATTTGATATACCTCTTATTAACTCAGGCTTCAATTTAACAGAACTTTGACTTACTTTGAAGGTTCAGCAATCGATGTTGGGCTCTCCCTCTGTTGTGGATGCTGACATTTTATTGGATCGTTTTCATTTTTGTTTGTGTCCAACTGATCTACCACAGCTACATCGCCATGAGTGCAGACTTCACGTACGTATTCATGTGGTTTTATAGCATCTGTTTTATCGAGGGCAATATCGCCAACTGGTTTCTGATCTAAATTGACACTTACAATTTCTGGATCCCCCGTTGGTGTATTAACCTTGGCCTTGGTGGTACAATCCGGTAGCACAGTGGTTGTTGTCGTCTTAATTAATGTATCTTTGACATCCCCGGTATTTTCATCTGAACCTTTAACAACGGATTGAACTGTGTTTGGGAAATCATCGGTTAAATGCACGTCCCCAGTACCAGTTATTCCGCTATGTGTTTTTCTTAACAAGGTGTTATATTCAAAGTCGAGTTTTCTAGACTCGGTACTATGACTTATTTCTTCGCTATTCAGAGATACGTCAGTGTTTTCTGTATGACCAATTATAGATGTATTTTGAAGAGTTGACGAAAACGTCGAACTATTCAAAGTTGAGTCTATATCACGTCCTTTTGTGTGTTTTGTATTGCATTCTTTATCTGAAGTTTCAGTGGGGGTGACTGTGCGGTTAAACTCGTCTGTTTGAACAGTTGGATATGCGTTTCGTGTTGAAAAAGAACTCTTTGTATCGCTTGATGGCTTTTCTGACCCGGGGGCCTGAGATGAAGATACTAAATCAAATATTTCATCGACCAGGTCGGATGTACCATCTTTGTGTACATTTGGCTTATTCGACATTTCTGGTTCTATTTCAGTATCGCTTATTAACTCATTTAATGATATCCCGTTTGTGTCCACTAGTCGGTTAATATCACAGGAGTTTATTTTATTTGATGCGAATTTAGACTCAACTTCGAAATGTGTTGTTTTATCAGGAATTAAATTATTGTTGACACCTGACTTTTTTAAAATACCCTGGGGAATATTCAGTGTATTGAGTTTTTCATCTGAGGTATTTTCATCAGTTGCTATCAAGTTTGCATCAGTGAGGCCTAAGCCCGGGGCAGAAGCGTCAATTTCATCGTCTGAGTTCGCGAAAGATTCTTTCCCATCCTTTTCTTTAGTTTCATTAAAAGTATCCTGGACAGTAGCTTGTTTCAGGTCGTCTTTCCTTTTCTGTTCATCTTCACCAATTGTGCCTCTGTTAACTAGTTGGTCCGACTCATCCTCTATTTTTGCCCCATCTTCATATTTAACAATAGCTGTACCTGAGTATAATCTTTTCTCCGTGTAGCTCCCGTCATATTTTGACCCGATGTCATTCTTTTTGACTCCATGTGTTTTATCATCTTGGTATTGATTTAAATATGGACCGGTTGTGTTCAGTATGTCATCTTCAAGGACTATGGATTGGACCGCTGGGATATTTGAAAAGTCGGATGTGTCGTTGTCTTGGGCCTCAACATATTTCTTTGACTCTTTCCCTACAAAATATATGAGTTGTTTTGAGACGGTCCCTTTGCAATAATGAATGGTGAAAAACCGCCTCGTTTGCACACGTATGGTTGAATCAAATTACATATTGTAAACATATAAATATATTGAAAGGTAAAAATAAAATTGGTGAATGGAAATCGTAAAAATCATATTTCCCTATATCCGATTATGTACTAGTATACTATGCATAACTTTAATGACAAAAACAAGTAAAATTGACAAAATCTTTCAAATGCCTGGGCAAATTGCCCTCATTCTAAAGGTCACTGATTTTATCTGAATAATTCAACTTGTTTAAAACTGATACATGTTTAAAACTTATATCAAAACAAAAAGTTAATGTATCAAAGTTGTTATTAACTTACATGTAAGAGTATGCTTGTCAGCCTGTAGGTGTCGGAATTCCACATGAAATATTACAAACCGTGTTTTTCATGTGTACATACCATAGTAAGGTCTTAAAACTTTAAACAAACCTTTGTGATATTTATTTACTGTCACAACTTGAAAAGAGCATACATTTAGTACAGTAAGCACTTATACCTGAAACGTGTTTTTGACTCGACTGACTTTTCCTTCGTTCCTCCTTGGACATCTTCTGCCCCATTTTCTTTTACGTTGTACAGTGCAGTCACTGCATGTTAAATTACGTATTTGTTATTAATCCGAATCTCCATATGTGGTATTGTATTAGAACGCTGTACATATAGACTTGCATTCTTTGACCCAAATCGATATGTTATTGTACATGCACATTAACATGTATTCACCCATGAAACTTTTGTTGGACTATATAGTGTATCCCAGATGCTTTTGTTCCATGTGGTTGGTCAGTGTTAAGGTCAAACAAGCTACAGTTTCAGTTTCACTATATCGGTCATTATAAATATGTTTTTAAAAGGAATTTTTGAATTAGTTTCACTTAAATCCAAGTTCGATAAATCTCATACCCATTCATTTCAATTTAGATTTAAATCACCCATTCAATGTTAATGTATATTTTGTTTTTGTAAAAATATCGGAAACAGAGGTTATAAGGGGACGACATGCATTTAGTTTGCCTTTTTGTCGATTAAATCAAGCCATAGCATTACATACAAATCCGTGCCAGACGGTCACTTAAAACCTTTGCACTCATAATATAATTCATTGGCAAGGTATTCATCAACATCCTTACTTAATATCTTATGATATATTTTTACGGCGATGAATTGTGTGTATCGGATTAATAGGGCAAAATGCGATTAGTAGAAGTTGATAGTACGTAATCATAAGTAATCACGGGATCGGGTATCATTGACGACACCCATGGGATACTCGAAGAATAAGGTAACCAAGTGAAAGAAATTATGGTACCCCAGGGATTATGGTCCCCCTTCTTAACGGCCCTTATTGGCCCTGATTGTGTATAAGATAATAAGGGAAAGAGGTCACCGTATAAATCAATGGAGAGTAGGACCATAAATTGATAGGACCTCCCACCCTTTTACACCTGTGTAACTTGGATTATATGTATTTTCTCTCACCTGGGTAGAAATAGTGTAGTATAGAAGTACGATTTGCGCTAGGGTTGCCGTAGTAAGTATTGCCATATCGCACAAAAAGGTTCGCCTATTGTCCTTCTGTTACATTTTATCACTCTTTTACACTGTCACTTTCATTTTTTGCATTTTCGTTTTTTCTTTTATCATTTCCATATATAATTGCTATACTCTTTGCCAAAGAAAGTCGGAACATTTGGATGGATACTATACATCCCCATTTCCAAAAGCATAGTCAAAAAACCTCACTGGATGATCAAGGGAGGGGGCTAAAGAAAACATTGGGTCGAATCGTTTACTTTTTAGGCCTGGGAATAAATGGTTTTCAAAAAACGCCGTGATTTATGAAATTGACCTCATTAGGAATTTCGGAATAAAGCCCGTTTTTGGAAACGGGCTTTAATTTCTAAATAGTCCTGGTTTGTTTTGGAGGCGACATCTATCGAACTGGATAAAATCATGATTATGAATGTCAGTCAAATAAAAGTACGTATTTGTATAAAACAATCATATGGGCTTTCAACTAGAGTGGAAAGCCTATAATCCTTTATATCATTTACTTTAGGATTTAAGCCTAATGAATTCTGGACGGTTTTAGTCTTATTTCAAGACTTTGAATGAGTGCGGGAGCAAGAATTCAAAGTGTAGGATACAAGGCATGATTTGATTAAATCATTCACAATTTATTGAGTCGTGTGCACACATTGTAATATTTTGTGCAACACAACTTAAAATAATTATGATTTTTTCAAGAAACTTTTTCAAGGGATTTTCCAATGCTATATTATCAAAACTAAGGATTTGACATTTGGCGTGCATAAGCACCTATTTTGCAATCCCCCGAGGTAATATTTATAATGTTTTACTCAACTTCCAACTTAATATTTATGTCACACCATAAAGTGGTGACATATTGTTATGGTCTCCATTCTTTTGTGGCGGCGGTTGGCGATCGGCGGTTGGTGGTTGGCGTCTGTAACAAAATTCTTAAACTTCCAATAACTAAACAAATACTGTTTAGACTGACTTCAATTTTTTTCAAAATAATCCCCAAGTTTTCAGAAGTTCAAACTGATATTCAAGATTTGACCTTCAATGATCCTTTCGAGGTCAAAAAAGGTTAACAAAGGTCAAAAAGGTATTTTTCAACTTGCTTCAAATTGACCAATTTTTTCAAAACTATCTACAAGTTATCAAGTTATCAGGAGTTCAAATCTGACTTGAGATTTGACTTTCAATGACCTTCTCAAGGTCATAAAAGGTCAAAAAGGTATTTTTCCAACTTGTTAAATAGACAATTATTTTTCAAAACCATCTACAAGTTCTCAAAAATTCAAATCTGACTATAGATTTGACCTTCAATGACATTCTCAATCTCAAGGTCAAAAAAAGATTTGACCTTCAATGACCTTCCCAAAATCAAAAATTTCAAAAAAACAAAGTATAATGAACACGGTACGTGCTGATAATGAACAAACTAGTGTATTTATTCAAAATGCAAATCTTGAGATTACTTTACATGTCTGAATACAATCTTGCGATTATATGATATTTAAGTCCCTGCGTCATCGACACAAGGAGGACAAATGAACGTGTCAACAAATGAAGAAAGTGTTCAATTATTCTAAATATTTTAATGTTTATGCTCTGAACTCCCGATATGTAGGCTTTCGCGCCCAAAATTCATCACTTTTGGGAACACTGTCATACATGCCTTCAGAACTGTATGTCACAGGAGGTTCGAAAGAGGCCATGTCATTTCCATCACTCAGACCATCAGTTTGCCATGAAGCTTTGGTATCTCCATATCTCTGGGATTGACGGTATCCAACATCTCGCACATTTCCATCAGTTTGCCATGCTGCTTTGGTATCTCCGTATCGCTGAGATTGACGATAGCCAACATCCCGCGCAACATCCGGGTCTGTTCTGAACTCTCGAAAGCTCAATTCACGCGCAGGTGCAGGCATTATAGTATCAACACTATTTTCTCCTGGTTTCACTGATGGCGGATATCGAGTAGATACATACCTTGAACCGTATTTAGAGGCTGCCGGATTACGTTCAAATTTGCTTGTGTTGCTCCTGTAGAACGATTGAGAGGATATAGGGTTCGGCTCAAACTGGCCAAGATTACCATATAACTCGAATTCTGAAGGCCCGAAAAATTCGTTGTCATCATTGTCGTCATAACCACCGTACACGGCGCCATACATCGACTGTCTTTGCGTTTGCCAGCTCTCCATCGGGGGAATCTCGGGTTTCTTCGTTGACATTCGTGATTTGGACGACTGACGAGACTGCAGAGATTTGGACGACTGACGAGATTGAGATTGCCGGGGTTCGAGTTTCCTCGGATCGCCTGTCGGAAATCTCCGAATCAGCTCGCGACTGTTTCTCTCCAAAAGGTAGTAGCATAAACAAAGGCAGATAACGACGACCGTCAGGAACCCATACCAGATTACGAGGACTGTAACTATAACTGGATCCAGGAGATAGTCGTAATTAGCATCAGAGGTTAACTCTGAAAATGAAAATGGTAATTCTAATTCTATTTTCCAGATTTCTACATCTTCAGAAACCATCAACATGAAAAAAAAAAAAAAAAAATGAAAATATGAGTTAAAATTTATTTTCTCAAAAATGGCCCATTTATCACGTTCGAAAGGAATCAACTCAAGATAGTTCCGCATTTTTCAAAAGCGTATGAATTTTGGGATATTTCATTTTAATTTCATCGAAACATTTTGATTTTGAACAATACATGCTACCATATCATGTGAATATCCACATGAACATTGAAAAATATCACAGATTCCATCCCTTACTGGTAATCATAAAAAAACATTATACACGTCTAAATTAACGTGATATTACATGTACCTGCGACATTACTCGTTGCAGTCGGAATGGTTGGATTCACCATACAATCGTATTCACCATAACCATTTATACATGTTTCCCCCGCAGCACAAATACCATTCATTTCGCATTCATTTTTATCTGAAAGAAACAATGCCAGTCATAGAGAGTCTTCAATCTGAAATGCAATAGCAGTCCACCAATGTAATCACCTTTGTTTTGCACTATGTTCACATGTTTGACTTCTATAGCATTCTTAGTCATCTGGACTTTCGCTGTTTGAACATTGTTTTGATTCATTTTTTTAGTTTTTAGGGTTTTGATTCATCGTGTCAGAAAACCCGTTGTAGTAGTATTGATGAAGTGTTAATTGTTCGGGCTCATTGTTTACTGTGGTGACCAAGTTCGCTTTATGATACACACATACCTGTAGTTGTGGCTCGAGTCTATATTACTTCAACACCCTGATCCCTTCCCCTATCTACTTTACAACATTTGTTTTGGGCACTAGCCGCAATACTCTCTTTTTCACCGTCCTCACCTGAACACGTCCATCCATTTGGGGCAAGTATGAAACCATCAAGGCATGAACAGAGGAACGTCCCGACCTGGTTGAAACAAATATGTTGACAGCCTCCGTTGTTTATGTTACACTCGTTCACATCTACGAAAAAAGAAGATTCGATCTAGTTCCAGCTAATCCCATTTGTAATCAATATTAACTCCAACACCCAACGAAAAATATGTATGAGAATGACCAGTCATAACAAGGCAATAACATGCAAAATGTCATCACATTTCATTCGTTTTGTTACAGACACGCGGCGAACGCTGAACGCCGTACACGTTGAAGAACAAATAAAAACAAAATTTCGATTACTTTGGGATCCACCATGGTGGTTGATGTGTCCTTGTTGACTTCATATCGTTGACTTACATAATTTCAATGTCTAAATTCATTTGAAGTTCAACACAAAACCGTGACACATGAATATGCACATTTTCCAAGTGTTTGATTTTTTGTTATACATATCGATATATTACAATAACCATAGAATGCACTAGCTCACCTATACATGTTTTTCCGTCACTGTCTAGCTCATAGCCTTCATCACAAACGCAGTGAAAGCTCATGAAGCTATTAACGCATCCTTGGCTGCAACCATCGGTGCCCTCAATGCATTCATCAACATCTAAATAACAAATGCAAACATAATAGTTGCAACATTGATGTGAACTGTATCATGAGGTCTTGGCAATCGTAAAGGAAGGTATACGATGTTTCAAAATGCGGTGCTATTCAGCTAAATATCTTAAATAGTTGATACATCATAGTTGCCAGTGTATATTGCAGTAAATACTATAGGGATTTTAAGCTTGCATATCAAATCGAAACGCCAACGTATGACCAATCGCCCATACAAATCCATCGCTTGAATATTTTCCGTTCACCTTTAGGTTGTGAAAAACATTGCACGCTTAACCTCCCTAATAACTAAACTCTAACAGTTCGATTACGTGTGATATGAAACTTGGTAAAAGTAACGAGGCGCTTCTGATGTACGAAATAGTAGTCAATGTTCCACCTGTTAAAACTGAGATGTTCCCGATGATACCAGTAAGACCCGCATCTCCAACGATTCCTTTGGTACCATTTTCTCCCTTCAAGCCTGGTTCACCACGATCACCCGCTATGCCTTGTGCTCCAGTTGAGCCGTTGACACCTGTATGTGGAGAACCACAATACATTAGCTGACCAATAATATGAGTTTCATGAATGGAAAATCTACATTAAAATTCTTTGATATCCAAATGAACGGTAGAAGCATTGAAACGTCTAACTTTCAATATTACATCAGTCTACAAACCGCAAAACTCAGACCTACCAGGTATTCCAGTAAATCCTTTGGGACCAACATCACCATTTTCCCCAATCTCTCCATCATCTCCTTGGATTCCTTTGGTGATGTTTGGTTCAGGCCCTTTCGGACCCTTGGCTCCAGTGATTCCAATGATGCCGATGTCACCCGTTTCACCACGTGTTCCGTTTGAACCATCATCACCTATAAGATTAGTATCAATAAAAAACACTTTTTAAAATCCTAGAATGATAATATACTCTTGGCATATACGAGTATATGCATAAACATTCAGTGCGTTCGGTACTTGAGAGTTGTATCGTAGAAGCA